TAACTCTGTACAGTAATTTGGAAAGATAAAATCAAGTTCAGGGAGATTTTAATCAACGTTAATGATCATTATAAAATTCCATTGTTGTCTACACGACTTTTTGATAACATTTTTGATTATGATATGGATATGTTAAAGTTGCAATAAATATATATTTCGAACGAAAAATAACTTACGAATAATGAGAATAGAATTTTAGTATTATCATATCAATTATATGTATAGAAGAAAAGGAAGGGTGTATGCATAAACAAACTAATCTTTTCCAATATACGTGCACACGAAGGCACACTGTATACGATATATAATATTCTTATGCGGGCATTAAAATATACAACTAGTTTCATATCGTATGACAATATGTATATGTATATACAATATTTGACATGTCAAATAATTCACAAATAGTTTTACTTTTCTCTCGTTTTCGCTCTTTCTCTCTCTCTCTCTCTCGTTCGTTCGTTCGTTCTCTCTCTCTCTCGCTTTCTCTCTTGTACACATATATCTTTCTTGTCAACAAATAACAAAGGCTTGAAATATGAAAATTTTAATTTACACAAAACAAAATTCTCAAATACACGTGGCTGACTATTATGCACTTTTTTTTAACAAGATTTTTACAGCCAGTCCATGTGTGTGTGTGTGTTAACACAGAATTGTACAAAACATTGGGTATTCCTTTTCGTATCGATATTACTTCCATCATGATAGTAATAATCACTACTACCTTGATAGAAGAGTATATCTTATTATAGTTCATTACCGTGTTTTCAGTATTATTACAATCGATCTTGACACTTTGTGTGTGTGTGTGTGTGTGTGTGTGTGTATATATATAACCCAGCCTGTTACTACTTTTATCATTAAAAATCATATATATGCATATATATATTCACACACATATTGTAATATGTATGTATATATCTATAAATACATGTGGAGCCATCCCATTTTTAATCTATCATAGTCCACTCTTATATTAATAAAGGCATGCTAAAATTGAGCAGGCATACTAAGGCATACATTTCTTAGAATGATTTATATCAAGAATCTTCAAGTTTACATACAAATTCTATTAGAAAAGTAATAGGTGTATATATTTCAATAATTTGTATATACAATTATATCAAACTCTGAAACAAAATTTATCGTTATTACATTACTGTATGATACCCCATGTATCTTAATGTAGAAGTTTTCTTTTCAAAACATCACACTCTTGCTGTTCCACAAATTATTTCGATAGTACAATATGTTGCACGTAAAAGCATTCCTCCATTAAATGCCTTTATTATAGTAATTGCAGACTAGGAGAATGGATTAAAATAGGGCAGCCGTTGTGAGTATATGTATATTCATCTCAGATTTATAAAACTCTCACATGACGATTAAGCAGTCATGCGAGAGGCTTCGAATTTCAAGAATCAATCTAGTGGCTGAAGGCATCGTTTGTATAACACAGAATAAGTTTGTATAAAATATTCAGAACACTGTAACATTTAGATGCCATTCAATAATGTACCACTGATTAAAATTCAATCATTAAATCGTCCGCTTATGTATACTCATTTTACATGTTTGCGTTATTTCATTTCTGTAACATTACATTTTTTCCTTTTTTTTTTTTGTCTTTCGTTTTTAATCGTTTTAGGTCTGTTCCACCAGACATCATAGCATATTTCCTATAGATCTCAATAATCTGAAATTTTGATCGATAATTGGCTACTTATTCAATTTATCACCTGCATTATTTATAGGTATCCAAAATATTTACAACTTTGCTCGCAGGTGTTCCCATTTTCTCGCTGTTCTTAAAATTCAATTTCTCTTTACGATACAAGAGAAATTCTAGTCAACGCTACTAGTTTCATCCGTGATGATCCACCCCTCTATGGTGTTACTGTTTCCCTGAACTAGTAAGATTTTCCATTGTCTTCGTTAACTGCCTCATGCGCGAACATTCAGTTACTTTCAGGGTTAACTTCCTTTTCACCTTCACCATCCCCTTCTTCGCGCGTCATGCCCTCTATCGGAGCTGGTGTATCTTCCACGCTTGTTAGATTACTGGATGGTAGTTGCCCTGGTGGTACTGTGGATGGCACGGATGGTGGACCATTTTGAGCGGCTCCTTGTGGGAATCCTGTTTCTGCAGAGACTAAGTGTGACGGCATGTGGGGCGAAGCTGTCTGAGATTTTCTACTTTTCTCGCCCTTTCTCCACAGTGTTATTTCCTGGAACCGAACGAAAATATTATACACCATTTTACACCATGCGCTTCTACCTTACTTGTTTTCTAAAAATTCCGCGCGAACGCAACACTTTATATTTTCAAACTTACTTGCTGCTTGAAGTATCTGCGATCTTCTTCGTCCATGAGGACTAAATTAAGGTAGTATCTAACGCTAAATTTCTTATTAATTTCACGCATTGTCGGCGCCAAGTCGTACCCTGCTAGAAACACTCTTATGGGAATGGATTCACCACGGACAGGTGCGCCATCCATTATTTCGTACTTGGCTATTGTTTCATTCTCCGTGAACGTATGTGGACCTTCAAATATGTATTCTAATTATTACTTTGGTACATTGAGTTACAGTCAATGAACATATAAACAAAACAAAATACTTTCTCCATTGCGCACGAAGGTCGATAAAAGTATTGAAATCATAACAACGGCTAACGTAATTAATTTTCTTTAGATAAAAGAGAGAAAGTGTACAATACCAGAACCAGTGGTCTCCCGTTTTATTATGGCGATTTCCATGTGCTTGATTTTAATTCTAACCAAAAGGAAATAGATTTTTCCAACAATGACATCCTTCAAGTGATACCTGAAACAGAATTTGCGTGATAAAAATGCATAGAAAAAACTACGACAAAGTAGTAGAGCAGCACGAACAATCGATCAACCTACTTGCTTTTATTGTACTCAAATTCGATATGCAAACAGTCTTCGATTCCAACTTCCATTTTAATGGGATTATTCATGTCTGGATAGGAACTAAGAGTGTGCACAACTAATTCGAGTTCTTTAACAATATCGCTAAGTCTTCGGACAATTGTCACTTTCAGGAAATATCTTAGCCGCACGTTAGCCCCTGTGTAGCTTTCGAATGGTTTCTCTACATTGGCAAATTCAAAAGTGTACACAGTGTTGTGAGTTAATTCGCCTGGCCTGGCCAGTTCTTTAACCAAGCTTGTGAATTCGTGACGATTTCCTCTATCGTAATATAATTCTATTTGTCCGAAAAATTCTACTTTTACACCCTGATGTTCTAACTTGCCAGCCTTCCTAAGACTAATGTTAATCTGTAATTAATAATATAGCAGTTAGCATATATTCGTTGGGCGAACTAGTACGTAACGAGATAAGAACTGTTTCGATAACGTTGCTTTACGAGCAACAAGCTTTTCAGCGAGTAGTCTAAATAAATGAACAATATTGATCCATCGAACGGTTGTGTTACAATTTGTCCACATGTTACATAAAGCGCACCGATATATATATATATATATATGTGCGCGCACGCTTATACAATGGGACATTGAATTATCGTACGAAGAATAGAAAGAAAAGCTTCTTTGAAACTGAAAGAAGATAACTACATCGGATTACAATGCGGTAAGAATGTCTTGAAATTGTGTACAATGCTTCGATACGTTCAAAGTATCCGATCAACCCTTGCGTACTATAAACGATATTCTCCGTTAGCGTTTGCACCTTTGCAGCAGTGACAAGCTGTTTAGCAAACATTTTTACCTTTCCAGATACGGTTTCCCCGTCATAGTATAACAAGTGGCGCTCTTTTTTTCCATCTTCGGATTTGATGTCTGCAGACTTCCTGGTATCTGCACCATCCAAAGTAATCTCTATGTCAGCCGACTGACCGAATCCAAAGAAACTCTGCGAGGAGAAACGAAATTAAAGATCGTAAAGAAATCTAGCAAAACCGTGAAATTTCACAACGAACGAGTGTTCTGCGTGTTCCTAAGATAGGCTATCCATTAATCAAAGCATTAACATACCATTTTTCGTAAAAAAGAACGACCTTGTAGAAACGATGACACGTGTCACAGTAATCGTGTTCGCGTTGATTAGTGCAACGTGCAAAATCAATGAAAAATTCTTGAAGGCAACATTTTTTTCGTCTAGAAACGAGAAAAGTTGGGTTATTTTTTGCTTGCTTCCTCCCAAAAGTCACAAGTAGCCAATATGGCTGCGCAGCACGGCCCCCACCCTTCGTCGTGTACTGTCAAACTTGCAGTCGCATGCAAGAACGCGACGGACAGGCGATTGATACCGGTGCTATCTAGTATTATTTACAATCCATTCTTATTCACTTTGAACTTTCCATCGGTTTAATTGGATAACGCTGCGCGGTTGCTAGTCGCAATCGTGTGCCTTCATTGAAAACATTTGCCCCGTTCGAATACCAGGCCAGGTGCGTTCGTAATTACGTTCAATGGCGAGCATCGGCGACTGCCGGTGATATTGGGGACGGTGACGTTTAGAAACTGGACTACATATACGCACACACATAACATATGTAATTGTAATTAACACGTGATAACATCGCAGAACGATGTATATCAGAGCCGAAACTACGTATCGGAATCTTCAATCATCTTGTTCTCGAATTGAATAGCCTTTCTTAAATTTCAATGTATGTGTGTACCGTGATTTCATAGTTTCATGGTTTCAACTGAGAGAGAGAGAGAGAGAGAGAGAGAGAGAGAGAGAACGTTAAAAAGTGCGGTAAGATTCAAACATTCGAAAAGATTTTGCAAAATTGACAATGAATGTTCTTACCAGGGATTGAAAAGTTGTCGTACATAATCGAATCAAGCTGTTGTATTATGTACATCGATTCCGATCGAAGCAGTTACATATGAAGAACCGAAAAAACCTCATTGTTCATCGTGTCATTGTACGTATGTACATGCACATGTAGAATATACAAATGGACCTACTTGTGAACGCATGCGTGCCGGTAACTGATTCCTGAAAAGTGTAGGAGTTCTCGCATCTATACTGCAATTTATACTGCGCGCTAACGCACACTAACGCACTTTCATCCATCGAAAACATCTGTCAGGTCCATGGTCCCGTCGTCTCGTTCCTGTTCGAATGCCAAGTACGTTCGTAATACACGTACATATGTACATGTTGTGTATCATGTACCGTTCAATGGCGAGTATCGATGACGTTTAGAAACCGAACTAGTACACATCGTCATCGTAATCTACACTACACGTGATAACGAGTTCAAGTTCCGTTTTGTGGTCGGCTTACTTTGCGATATATGTTGTACATTGTACCTGAACCGTTATTTATGAAAGAACGTTCGTTGGATATTTAATGGTAACACCGTGGAAGCGGCGTGATTGTTTATTAATGGATGAACCTAGCCAGGCCAATTACGCGACAGGTGACAACAGAAAAATCAATTCTGTTACTCGATATTCATAATATATGTTATTCGTATTATCGGAGACGATAGAATAAAGAAAATTTGAATGAATAACAATACGCGTAATTCAGCTATCGCGAGGCAAAGCGGTGTAGCGTAAGTAGTTTATACGAGGTTATAATTAAGCTTTACTCTCCGACCGACTCTGTTTCGCTAATATCTGTCATTTTCGATGCAAAGTGTCACGGTCTATGATTTAGCTGTATCTTAATGTTCATATGTATTCGTTTCAGGCAATGGACTATGATTGCATTAATAAATTATGATTATATTAATCAGCGTTATTTGTGTTTTCATATAATTAATGTTTAAGGACATTGTTGGTAATTTTAAATCATGGATTATGATTATATTACCTTTCAAAGAGAAAGAGATGTTCATAATAAATGTTACGGCGGAAGATTATGGTGTATTAAAGTACGTATATGTACACAGATTTATTTTCTTTTCCTTTCGCTTCGACGGCAGCTTACGGTACGTACGTTCTTTGTAGGACATATGTGGAATTATATGCGCAGTTTTAACATGGTTGTTAATCATCTACGCAGAATTTGTTGTGATGGCAGTGATCCTTATTCCTACAATAAATACTTTATATTCTGGTCTGAACACTGCGATATTTCAATCGTTAACTTTCTTAGCCTTTGCTTCTCATTTGAGGACAATGTTCACAGATCCGGTAAGTAAGACGACATAGTAGGGCCCTATTTATTAGACGGATTATATTATCGTACGTCGTACACGATAATTTGTACCACGGTAATTCTCGCTATTAACGATCATATTTATGCGTAGGGTGCTGTTCCAAAAGGCAACGCGACGAAAGAGATGATAGAACAAATGGGATTTAGAGGCGGACAATTAATTTTTAAATGTCCAAAGTGCTGCTCTATTAAGCCGGATAGAGCGCATCACTGTTCCGTTTGCCAAAGGTACATTTTTGCTGTACAATTTCATTGGATAAATGTTACGTTTAGGGTAGGCAGTATCGGACGATCTCCACCTATCGTTCCGAACAAGTTTTCCCTGTAGATATTACCGTCGCTCGGCAAGAATCTTCGATTCCGACTCAAGTTTTTAGGCAACGTGCGAGATATTCGAGAATTGTTGAACAAATTATCCGACTTATTTTACGAAAGACCAAAACAAGATCTAATCCAGACGATGCTTACGGAAAAGTATGCATAATATTAAAATAATTCTCGGATATTTCATATTTTGGCAAAAATCCATGCGAAATGTGAACATTGCGAGCGTGATCGAGCTTGGCCGTGTTAGATCGGCGCTTCCCGCCTCCTCCGCACCTAATCCCAATCAATTCGAAATTGGTTTTGGCTCTGTCCAATTTTGTAAAGTATTGTTGATCGTATGCGTTAAAATCGTGAAAATCAAGATCACATACATGCGGCGGATACAAGCGAATTGAAATGGAGCGACGGTTACAACGACGGCCATCCGAGATCTGCCTGCCTTAAACATAAGATTCGCCTAATATTATGTATCGTTCGAACGACAGTTCTTTCGTACCTGTTTCACAGATGTATTAGGAAAATGGACCACCATTGTCCGTGGGTGAATAATTGTGTGGGAGAAAATAATCAAAAGTATTTTGTACTGTTTACGGTGAGTGTCTCTGTGTAGTCGCGAAACAAACCGGAACTAAAATTAATTGTTCATAAAATGTATTTCAGTTCTACATAGCTGGAATGTCGTTGCAATCTTTATTCTTGTGTATACAACAGTTTACAACGTGTGTAAGACAAGAGTGGAAGGAATGTTCTACGTTCAGTCCACCCGCGACGGTGGTGCTGTTGCTTTTTTTGGCTTTCGAGGCGCTTCTCTTTGCCATTTTTACCGCTGTAATGTTGGGAACGCAACTGCAAGCCATTTGGAACGACGAAACTGTACGTAAATGAATCGTGCACGTTGGTAAATGAAATTTATTTATTCCTTTTAAGCGTAATTTATTCGTTGTTCGCGCGTTCCGGTTATAGGGCATCGAACAACTCAAGAAAGAAGAAGCTAGATGGGTCCGTAATAGCAAATGGAAATCTATTCAAGCCGTGTTCGGAAGATTTTCAATCGCATGGTTCTCGCCATTTACCTCGCCTCCAAAGTGCAAAACGAAGCTAGATTCTTATTTATACTCGGTGTAATGTATTCGGTTACATGGCTACACATCCCAGGGATATATTTAATACATGTAAATATAGATTATATACAATATACATATATATATATATATATACATATATGTGTATAAACTATATATGTATACGACGTATCATGGAGTCGTGTACAAGTAAATAGAATAGAATTTGTAATTTTATACCATTATCTAAAGATTCATTGCGACCATATTTGAAATGTACTTAAAAGTGCGCGCATGCGTTTAATATATACTTCTTATATACACACAGGTATTTTAAGTGCGAAAAAGAAACGTAAACATTTGTAAATTATCGAGCATATTATCGCGTTATGCTTGTCGTAAAGCTTCTTGTATTTAGATTTTGGTATCGTTGTATCATGCTAGCGACACGACTAAAAATCTGACTGTAAATGTTTTACCCGTGATACGTTTGGTGCATATTGTACGTTCGTAATCGGCATCGTAAGCATTAGCGTGTTACGAACATGTATACAATGCGACAAGGAATACATGGAACATGACAAATTAATTTTGAAATCGAGGTTTCGCACACTCTAGATTCTAGCTAAAATGTAGAGTGCACATTGTGATACGTAGCGCATATTTTCGCATATTTTCGCATATTTTCGCATATTTTCGCATATTTTCGCATATTTTCGCATATATTTTCGAAACGAATTTAGAATTATTGATCGTAGACCGCGACGGGGGTACGCTATATTTCGGGATCGACTGTAATTAGTTGACGAATTGTCAGGATACGGAAATTTCGACTAGACAATAATGTCAAGAATCCAGTGATTTTTACGAGCAGCTACAAGTTTATCGTAAGACGTCTCATTTTTTCGAGCAAGCATATCATAATTTAATTCCATTTCCTTATCCTTCGATTTTGTATTTATATGAGGATACCTGATTTTTTGTATAAATAAATTGTTGTACAGTTTCTTATATTTACCGACAGTATCTCTTATTTTGTAGTTCGAACCGGTATCGTTCGAGTAGCCTAGAAATTGCGATTAGCTATCGTTCGAGAGCGCGCGTAGTGCCAGTAGTAGTTTCTGAAAGTATCATCGTGAAATGTCAGAAGGAATTGCGAAGACGCAGTAATTTTTAATCGTGATTAAAGAATGAATTATCCTTCGAACAAACTCCGGTGCGAACGTATTTTCGTTCTAAAAATGTGTGTGCCCTGATAAGGTGTTGTTAAGGGAAGGAAAATTTCAGCGAGACGATTAAGAGAAAATTCACATACATTCTTTTCGAAAGAACGATTAGAAACGATAGTTTTGTGGGTTACATCGATTTTTCTGGATTTCATTTGGAAAATTCGTAGTAAATACCAAGCTGAGAAAGAGGCGAAAAACAACACGATACAAAATAATCGTATAACATAGAAGAATATTTGTTCGCAACTGCTTCTGTGTCGGATAAAAGAAACGATACGTTTAGCTGTTTTATTTATTCGTTCGTTCGTTCATTTATTTATTCGTTTATTCATTTAGAAACCGCGAAAGCGAATGCAAATCTTCGCGCTAGATCTTTCAGCGAGAAAAATGTATTTTTCAAACAAAGCTATAAAATTGAAATAGTATCTACGCGACGACGCGCGAGATCGAATTTAGGAATTTTTTTGAAAATCACTGCTGAGAATTTCATTCGAATTTCCGATTAGACCTTTGCGATTTATTTCCGTTGTCAAAAGAATTTGAACGAGTTTCAATTCAACGCATCGGTATTTCCGAATATCTTCGCGATAATCGAAGCCCGCGAAGGACTCGTTGGAGGAACGTTGCTCGAATTTCGTGAGATGTTTAGAGACGGAGGATCGGTATTCGGTAATGACCGCGTTTACCGCCGCAACGGACGCGCTTCCGAAGCGTTCTTGTCGGAGTCCCGAAGAAGTTGTCTTATTAAACGATTTCTAACGCTAATCGCGTGCGTGTCGCGAGCATTTAAGTTCTCGAGAACGCGATAAAAACCGAGCAGCGCTGACGGCAAAACCCGAGGTTGCTAGTTTTCCACTTTCATCGGCTTCCGTTTCGACCATTCAGCTCGCCTCGGCTCGGCACGGCACGGCTCGGCTCTCCGCTCCGTTTCGCTCCGCTCCGTTCCGCTCCGTTCCGCTTTGCTCCGTTTTCTGCTCGCAACAGCGATCGGCTGCCGATCGACTCGCAAACTCGCGAACTCGCAAACTCGCAAACTCGCGATCATCGACTCGGCTCCGCTCCGCTCGCGGTCTTCGTTCTCGTTTTCGTTTTCGTATTCGCGTTGGACGCGCCGCGCGACGTGGGGGCGCTAACAACGGCTCACGGTGGCAGAGTGGCAAGGTCGTTAAACGTGCCCAGATCGGATAGATAGAGGAAACGGTCTCGGGGGCCTCGTGCTGTTGCGTACGAACGCTCGAGGAGCGGCTTTCACTTTTGCCACGGCTGTTCGGTGAGTTTCAACCACGAACGATCGTTCGATTTTTCGACGCCGAGGGCTGGCATCGCCTTCGAAGGTTTTCCACGATCCATCGATCGGGGATCCTTCTTCGATCGTCCTCGCGCGATTCTTCGTCAGATCCTGGATATCTCGGAGAGAAGTTCTTTCCGCAAAGTGATCGTTTTTGCTACCATAAATGGTAGCCGGACGAGTTAAAAAAAGTTCAATTTCATCGATAAACTGTCTGTAAGAGAATTGTTTCGAATTCGTGAAACGAACGGTGATCGTTAACGTTTGAAATGCGCATCGTCTCTCGAGTTACACACGGTTTCACAGAGACATCGGCGAATCGAAGAAACTGCTCGAAGACAATCGATTTCGAGATTCGCCGATCCACGGACGAAAGGCGGAAGTGGAATTGGCCGGACCTTCGTCGGTCGATCGAGTTCGGTGAAAATAATCGAAAATCGAAAATCGAAAATCGAAAATCGAAAATCGATCGATCGGACGCGAAACGCGCGTATCCACTCGTTCGCGGAACCATTTTGTAATAGAAACGATTAAAAATCGTGCCGCGTATCGCGTTTAGAGGAACTCGCGTCGGGTGCTCGAAGACGGACGTTTCGAGAAGAGGGAGGAACGAGGGCTCGAGCCTGCCCAGCGTCCGATATCCTAAACGGAAACGAAAATGTTCAACGAACGTTCCTTTTGCCGGAGAAAAAGCGTAATTTCTTTTCCCGAGTAATCGCGAGAGATCCGTAGCGAGCAGAGATCGTAGAGAAAGAAAACGAAACGTATCTTACACGGTCGTTAACATACCGATACGCGAACGCGTCGCGTGCGTACGGTAATTAAGACGAGAAAACGGCGCGTTGCGTTCTTTCGGCCGTCGATTACGTTTATAAACACATAAACGTTCCGCGAGCAAAACATACCGCGAGATGTCGTTCGAACGCGAAACAGCGGACAGTCGGCGCTTCGTCGATTAGAAATCTACGGAGGTCTTTTTCTGCCCGATATCCAGACTCGTCGGCCGCGCCGACCGCGTGCTGGATACGGCGAGCTCGCGAAACGGCGATTCGGAGATTGCACGGCGTTCGAGCACGAGGCGGGCGCGGTCTAGCCGTCGAGCCGTCGAGCCGTCGAGCCGTCGAGCCTCGTGAAATTGACTAATTCGAACCGCGAGAATCTAATTGGCACGCGTTATTCGTGAAAATTCTACGGGCTCACGATCGTTGCGCTCGTTCTTAGCCTACGAGCTCGCCCGATACTCGTCTCGTTGCGCGTACACGCTGTCGCATACACGCTATCGCATACACGTTTTGTTTTTCGATCGTTTCAGCGACTTCGGCCGCCATTGTCGCGGGGACACCAAGATGACTCGGAACGGTTTCACCTTATTGGCGGTACGTTGGATTCGGTCGGCGTTACATTCGTCTTTCATCGTATTTCGTAAAATCGATGCACCCGTTGTAGAATCATGTAGAAAACGCGCGCGGAGGTATTTCGATATCGCTTTCGCATCGTCGGCATCCGAACACCGTAGACTTCTGCCAATTACAAATGGTTCGAAAGCCGATGAAAAGTTAACGCGGCAAACGAGTTAACGACCGTCGCTCGTAACGCCGAAGACGCTATCTCCGCGAAATCTAAACGATTCGACTTGGTTTTTCGGTGTACGGCATCGGTGCGTAAAGATCTCCGTTTAAACGCGCGCTATCGCTATCCTACATTTCCGAGATACGTATCCGACACGGTTGTCTCGTGCTCGGTACGACGCGCAGCCGTTCCATTATGTATTTTCCGTTAACGGTGTCGAACCAACCACCGATGAACGATTTCTTCGACAATTTTCACGCTACATTTTTCACGCTACAATTTTCACGCGACAATTTTCACGCTTCCGCAACGAAAGTCGACGAATTTTCCAACTTTCCGATAAAACGGTGGAAACGGCCGATTTTGTAAGACGAATTTTCGACCGCGCCGCACCGCCGGGTGTCGAAAGTAGGTATCGATAACACAGAGTCGTGGACGCTTGTTACGGTCGGCGCGCGACATTTTACCGCTAGGTTTACGGCACGCGCGTCCAAACGCGAACAACGACGAACAACGCGTACCACGTTTTCGAATCGATCGTCGTCGACGTCGTACGGTGCCGCTCGCGCGGAACGTGTTCGATGAATTCGTTTCGTTGGACGCGCGTGCTCGACGAAGCGACATAAAAAATAGCTGCTTTCGGCGGTCCGTAAGCCTAGCGTCGACGCATCGCGCGTGCCGGCGAATCTAAAATTATCGGGAATACGCTGTACCGACGAGTCGTTGCGTTTGCAGCAAGGTCTGGTCCTGTCGACGGTGACGCTGACGTTGACGCTGACGCTGACGCTGACTCCGATTCGGACAGCGGCCGCTTACGACCCCGGCGACGAGTCGCTGAAGGACATCCTGCTGCCGGAAGGACGGTTCGAGGCGTTCTACCTGAAAGGATCTCAAGAAGAGGAGCAGAACGCGGTCCGACCGGCTCATCTTCACGGGTCGTTTCACCAGTTCAGGAACCCGGCGCTGATCAACGCTCCGAACAGCGCGGCCTACGGCTTTCGTTTCGATGGAAAGCGTCGCTTCAACTACGAGTAAAACCGCGGCTGTCCCGCGGGTCCGGGCGATCGATCGTCGTCGCCTCGGCGTCCGCGGATCGCGCGTCACGCATCGGGTGCCGGGCCGCGAAGCGACGCGCCGCGGACTATGGAATCTTGTTCACGGTCCGCTCTTTCGTTTCTCCGTCGAACGAAGTCGCGCGGATCTTATCGCCGAAATTAAAATCCGCGAACGCGGAGTCGACCGTCTTTCTCCGTTTCGGCAATTCGTATTTCGTCCGGCCCGGCCGGCCCGGCCGGCCAGCCCGGCCAGCCAGCCCGATCGAGTCGTTCGCGCTCCGTCGCTTCGATCCGCGGAACGATGAAACGATAAACGATTCTGTACTCCGCACACCGTATACATTAAACGCTTTTACCACGAAACGCTACGGCATTTTATTCATCGTATCGAAACCTTATCCCGCGATCTCCCACCTCGACGAAGCGGTACTACCTAGCGCGAAACTCGACTCGCGATTCGCGTCCCCGGCCGTTCGCGAACGAAAGCGATCAAAGTTTCCATCGAAATCGAATATTCCGAAAGTAAACCTTGTCTAGAAAACGCAGCGATAAAATGATAAAAATCGACCGCTGCCGCGTTCGCTTTCGACGTTCCTCCAACCGTGATTGCTGATCGGGCTCGGCGACACGGATGTTCCTCTTTTTTCAAGGTAACGAGCGAAATTCTATTCCTTATGTATCTTTAACCAAGGCCTTCCTAATGACCGCGTTTTTTCGCCCGCGGCGCCGTTTATGGCCGCGCGGCTACCGTTTTCTTGGCCAAGACGAGTCCGCGGCCGCGGTCGCGGTCGCGTCCGGTAGCTTTCGATGCACGTCAATTAGTTGATTTATAAACGGGTCCGGCGAGATGGTCTGCGTGGAAACGCGTGCGCGCGCGCCACTCGGGAGTTCGGCGTACCGCGTTCGCTTTGGCTCGGGGACCTCGTGCCGCGCCTTTTTCAGACGGAGACAGGGATAGAAGCCCCCGAGGCGGCGCGACGCGACGCGACGACGGTTCACCGTGCTCGCGTCCGTAGCGCGTGCCAGCGTCGGCATCTGCGCCTCTCCGCCAATTAAAGCCTAGGGAAATTCGCTTTCGTTGAGACGACGCGTGCCGCGTGGCTCGCGACGCGCGGGAATGGTCCATCGCGGGCCTGTGGGCGGTATCGCGGCCGGCAGAGACGTTCGCGAGGCGCGAGCCCCGCGGATGCGCGAGGGACGTTTCGGCTGTGCCGAGATGCGGGTGGCGTGCATATTTATACATATATATATATGGAGAAGCGCGACGGACGATCGTCAGTGATCCGTCCGCGGACAAGCGTGCCGTCGTCCTTCGAACCGCGCGAGAACGGCAGCGATCGGATCGATTTCGATCGTCGATCTTTCGATTGTTTCGTTTCGAAATGCGTGACAACGTAGCGAGATCGGTCGCGATTCCGAATCGTTCGATATCGTTCGAATAACCTCGATCGATTTCCCCGATCTTTCCTCGGAACGGTTCCTCCCCCTTTCGGCCGCGCGCGAGATCGTTTCGGAGGAAACCCTGTTCGAGAGCAGCGTGCGATGCGCCGATTATCCGACCACCGGGCAGATCGAACGACTCTTTGAATCGCTTACAGTTTAGAAAAAACTAACGGCGCCGGTACCACGTATACGCTGTACGCGCGAAACGATGTTGTCGGGTCCAGTTTAACGACGTCCCGGGCCCGGCCGGTACCAGTCGCTCCGGGGGAGCTTTAAAAGACCTCGCCGATGAACGGCGGTCCCCATAGTTGGATCGGTGCGGTGATCTAGCGGGACCTAGGGCGATCGACGACATGAGGATCGCGCGTGTGATCACGGTGAGCCGATCGGACGATCGTTTCCGCGCTTCGCGGGTTCCGACGCGTCGACGTCGCGATTCTTCGTCGACTTTGGCCAGCGAATCGAACCGATACGATTTCATCGAATTCGTCGCGTCGAACGGATTTCGCAGATCGGATCGCTGAAATCGAATCTGTTCGCGTCGCTGGTTTACAAGTTTTTTCGCGTTCGAGTGTGCTTCGGTTGCGAACGTTTCGTCGTGATTTTTTGGGGAAAGCGTTGTTCTCCCGAAATGTCGTCGTCGACGCGGCGCGCTCCGCGGTGGATTCGCCTTTCTTCGCGGCGGAATCGTATCGGAATCGTTTAGAAATTTTCTGTTCCGGCGGAGATCCGTCGCGGAATTGTTCCTCGAAAAGGAAAGGAAGGATCGAAACGGATCGAGAAAAGGGTTGTTCTCGCGCGTCGTCGGTACCTCGTCGAACGAACGATCGAAATTGTTTCGTTCGAGAACCAAAAGTTCGGCCCAGTCCGCCGGAACGCGAAATCGGAGCTAGATCGTCTGCGCGCGTACGATACCGACAACGAACGCGCGCGCGAAACGTACGATCGTACCGAAGCTGAAAAGTCGAAACACGCTATACGATCGTTGTTCTCGTTCCGTCTCTCGAGTTTAGAAACGATGACTTGCCGTCTTCAAGGATATATCTGTGTGATTACAGGTCTGTGCCGCGTTAACGTTGGCGTTTCATCGCGCGGAATCCGTGCAACCGGACAGGTACGTTTTTCAACGAATACTATTTCGCGGGCAACGTTCGCGACGAGCCGATCTTCTCGCGATCTCGAAAACGATTGGAAAAGTCTGGATAGAATCACCTTCGGGAGAAGATTTTCATCGCTCGTCGATTCTTAAATCCGAATCGTCGTTCGAAACGTGGGCGCGCTCGCCGTCGCCGGATCCGCGGAAATTCGTCGGGCTTTCCGAAATGAAAATCGTCCGCGTCGATCGGGCACGAGAGCGGCGGCGATTCGATAGAAATCGACTTTCGTTTCTCGCGGATACGACGATATTTAATGTTCGAGACGCGAGAACGTCGACGAAACGAAAACGTAAATGGAGCGAAAAAGTGCGAAAGAATCGAACGCGGCGGATAGAGACGAGCATAATTTTTCCGTTACGCTTTCGTTTTCGCTTTCGCGTTTATCGCGATCGGCCCGATCTCGATGCAGCGCGCCCTTCGTGCTAAAATCTTGTCGGCGATGCCGAGATCTCCGTGGAAACGTTCGCGTTTCCATAGATTCGTTTCCTCGTCTTCGGTCGAGTTCGAGAGAAAAAGAAAGGATCTCTCGCGATCGATTTTCGCCGATACTCGCGATCGGTCGTCGCGATCCCCGCTTCTCGCGGCTAACTACTTCTGAGATCGTTTTCGTCGCAGACGGTTGGCGAAGAAGCACCGGGCGCAGCCGCCGCAGCCGCCGCAGCCGCCGCAGCCGCCGCAGCCGCCGCAGCCTCGGAGAGACGACGCAACGGACATCGGCGAGATCACGTTCACCACGCTGCAGCCGGAAACGCGGAACCCGAGCACCCGCTCCGGTGTCCACGGTGTTCCGAAGCAGGCGTTCGTAGACGCTCGGCCGGGTCGATCGACGGTTTGGGTCCGTCGGGGCCGCTCGAGCGGCGGTCGCCGGCGAAGGCAGCTTCGGAAGAATGCCGGCAACCTGATCCGGGTGGGCCGATCCTACGAAACGACCGGCGAGAATCGCGTCGATCAACAGGTGGAGAGCGTGCAGGGTCCGCCGGACGCGTTCGACGAAGGCACGGTGCACCTGGAGCCGGTCTACCGGGTGACCAAGAACAAGAACTTCGTCGACACGCTGCTGAACGTTCTCCGACGCCTGGTGCATCCTGCGAAATCGGTCGGCCCGCTCGTCGGCCCGTTCCACTTTCCCGGGATCGGCGAGAAGGTCTACATCAGACTTCTGGAATCCGTGCAGCCCGACAATCTGGTGATCCGTTTCGTTTCGTCGTTGCCGGTGAACGAGATCGAGACCACCTTCGACAAGAGCATCCTGCCCCCCGAGGAGCTGTTCGAGCACTCGGCGGTCCTCGCGATCGGCCGCGAGACCGACGACCGGCATCGTCCGCATCTCCATCGTCAGGCCCAGCAGCATCGTCGTCCGACGGTCCTCCCGGGGTCGAGCTCGGGCCAGGACTCGAGCAGCCACGCCGACGTTCCGATCGTCGGCCACGAACCCCCGCCTCCGTCGACCGATTCTCTACGAAACTCGTACGGACAGCGCGTCGAGCTCGACCACGGCGTGCCGGACGCGTTGCTCGCCGGCCGCGGAGCAGGATCCGAACCGAGCACGGCCGACCGCGTCGAAGCTGCTGCAGCGAGCCGAGTCAACGCGGCCCACGTTTCGAGGACGTACAAGGTGAATCTAAAGAACGGCGAGCCGATCGCTGTTCAGAGGATCGTTCGGCACGGGAAGGCGGTGGCCCAACCCGGTTCCGACGAACAACAGCAAAATTCGCCTCCTCGTCGGGCAAACGGCTACCGGGACTCGACGGTTGCCGGTCCCTACCGATTCCCTCGGGGAAATCGAACAACCGCGACGGCGACGGCGACGGCGACGAGCGCAGGAATCGGCAACAACCAGGAATCTCGTTCTCCCGAATCGGAGGGCGCGTCCGGTTCGGCCTTTCAGAGAGTCGAATGGGATCCGATCGTCCCCGGATCCCAGCCCTCGATCTGGGAGCAGTTGCGCTCGAACAATTTCTCCGGACCCGAGGAGAACGGTCCCCGGTACAGCATTCAGTTTTTCAGCAAGAAGATGAGATACCTGAATCTGGACGGCAGCGTGGACTCGCCTCGGGAGCCACCCGGCAAGGAAGAACGCTTCGAGCGGTTCGAACCGTCGAACGCGAAAACGTCGGGGTCCGTCGCCTACTGGGAAGCGCTGAAAAATGGAAATGCTAGGAACAAGAGGGGCCACGAACGGACGGCGACCACGGGAAAGGGTTTCGAAGACAGAAGCGACGACGGCGAGGTCGGAGAGAGAGACGAACGCGCGAAGAAGGACGCCGGGACCGAGGTCCCGACCGATACCCCGACCGAGACTCCGACCGAGACCCCGACCGAGACCGAGACCGAGNGCACCGGGCGCAGCCGCCGCAGCCGCCGCAGCCGCCGCAGCCGCCGCAGCCGCCGCAGCCGCCGCAGCCTCGGAGAGACGACGCAACGGACATCGGCGAGATCACGTTCACCACGCTGCAGCCGGAAACGCGGAACCCGAGCACCCGCTCCGGTGTCCACGGTGTTCCGAAGCAGGCGTTCGTAGACGCTCGGCCGGGTCGATCGACGGTTTGGGTCCGTCGGGGCCGCTCGAGCGGCGGTCGCCGGCGAAGGCAGCTTCGGAAGAATGCCGGCAACCTGATCCGGGTGGGCCGATCCTACGAAACGACCGGCGAGAATCGCGTCGATCAACAGGTGGAGAGCGTGCAGGGTCCGCCGGACGCGTTCGACGAAGGCACGGTGCACCTGGAGCCGGTCTACCGGGTGACCAAGAACAAGAACTTCGTCGACACGCTGCTGAACGTTCTCCGACGCCTGGTGCATCCTGCGAAATCGGTCGGCCCGCTCGTCGGCCCGTTCCACTTTCCCGGGATCGGCGAGAAGGTCTACATCAGACTTCTGGAATCCGTGCAGCCCGACAATCTGGTGATCCGTTTCGTTTCGTCGTTGCCGGTGAACGAGATCGAGACCACCTTCGACAAGAGCATCCTGCCCCCCGAGGAGCTGTTCGAGCACTCGGCGGTCCTCGCGATCGGCCGCGAGACCGACGACCGGCATCGTCCGCATCTCCATCGTCAGGCCCAGCAGCATCGTCGTCCGACGGTCCTCCCGGGGTCGAGCTCGGGCCAGGACTCGAGCAGCCACGCCGACGTTCCGATCGTCGGCCACGAACCCCCGCCTCCGTCGACCGATTCTCTACGAAACTCGTACGGACAGCGCGTCGAGCTCGACCACGGCGTGCCGGACGCGTTGCTCGCCGGCCGCGGAGCAGGATCCGAACCGAGCACGGCCGACCGCGTCGAAGCTGCTGCAGCGAGCCGAGTCAACGCGGCCCACGTTTCGAGGACGTACAAGGTGAATCTAAAGAACGGCGAGCCGATCGCTGTTCAGAGGATCGTTCGGCACGGGAAGGCGGTGGCCCAACCCGGTTCCGACGAACAACAGCAAAATTCGCCTCCTCGTCGGGCAAACGGCTACCGGGACTCGACGGTTGCCGGTCCCTACCGATTCCCTCGGGGAAATCGAACAACCGCGACGGCGACGGCGACGGCGACGAGCGCAGGAATCGGCAACAACCAGGAATCTCGTTCTCCCGAATCGGAGGGCGCGTCCGGTTCGGCCTTTCAGAGAGTCGAATGGGATCCGATCGTCCCCGGATCCCAGCCCTCGATCTGGGAGCAGTTGCGCTCGAACAATTTCTCCGGACCCGAGGAGAACGGTCCCCGGTACAGCATTCAGTTTTTCAGCAAGAAGATGAGATACCTGAATCTGGACGGCAGCGTGGACTCGCCTCGGGAGCCACCCGGCAAGGAAGAACGCTTCGAGCGGTTCGAACCGTCGAACGCGAAAACGTCGGGGTCCGTCGCCTACTGGGAAGCGCTGAAAAATGGAAATGCTAGGAACAAGAGGGGCCACGAACGGACGGCGACCACGGGAAAGGGTTTCGAAGACAGAAGCGACGACGGCGAGGTCGGAGAGAGAGACGAACGCGCGAAGAAGGACGCCGGGACCGAGGTCCCGACCGATACCCCGACCGAGACTCCGACCGAGACCCCGACCGAGACCGAGACCGAGACCGAGACCGAGAACGAAAGCGGTCCGCGGCTCGGCGGAACAACGGCCGCGAGATCGAGATAACCTTCGGTCTCGATATTTTCATCGCCGAACGAACGCGGCCGGCTCTCTTCTTTCTTAATAATGTATTTGGGAGCGAAGTCGGCCCGCTTCGGCTCGCGAGCTCCGTTCGCGTCGAGCCGCGATTCCGCGTCGAAAACTGCGTCGGAAGACGGAGTCGAGGCTGCGCGGCACGAGCACGGTCGCGACAACGCGGTTCGCCGGCTGTAATTTTTCGAAACGGTCTTTCTTCTTTTCTCGTTCCGGGAAAGCGACGTTTTCCATTCTCCTTCCACGATAGATTCGTCGGCTGGCACACCGTAACGTATAACCGTTTCGATCGTTGTCGTCGCATCGACCGAAAGCCGCGCGGAATCTTCTCTCGAACGATAATCTTAAGTTTCGCCGATGTCGGTATCGAAGCCGAGATCGATCGCGAGAGAAAAACCGACCAGCGACTGGAAACCGTTGTTCGATAATCTTCTTTCGAACGAACCCCGAAGGGACTGGCGCTCGCAACGAACGCTTCTCGCCGTTCACGGGCCGAAACGCGTTCGCGCTAATCGCGGCTTCGACGACGCGCGTTCCTTTTTCAAGGTCTTTTCGAGCATTTTCGAAGCAACGAATTATTCGATTGCGCAACGAACGACGAACCGCCGCTTTCGCCGTAACTATTTAACGAGATATCGTCGAGAATGATAATTTTATGCTTTCGTGGACAAGCGTAACGGCCGTTGCATAGCTGAAATTGATCGGGGCATCGTAGCATTCGATAATTAAGAAGGAACGTAATTGGTTTAACGAGCGACCGAAAGTAGCCGACGAACTTGGTCGACTTTTCTCTCCGACGCCTTCTCGCCTTCGCCTCGGAGAAGATCGCGCTTCGCCGAGCGTCGAAATCGCTGCGCGAACGGTGGACAGCGGACAGCGGACAGCGGACAGCGGACAGCGGACAGCGAATAGCGCTTCCGACCTCGCGTTCGAATCGTTCGAGCATCGGCCGGGATCGGGATATCTGGAGGCCGCTCCGGTCCGTCCGCGTCTTCGTTTCGTAGAACGTGGAATCTCGACGAGAACGTTGTATTCGAAGATTCTGCGTCTCATTGTTTCTATGAATATTAAACTATCGAACTTTCTATGCAAGAAACCTCGAGTCCGAGTCGATTCTTTCTTCCACCGAAACCCTCGAATTTCCGACGGCGCAGAGATCTCGCGCGCCTATTCGCTTCTCGACGCTGGATTCTTTTATTTTCGCAACGATCGTCGGGATTCGAGAGAGACGCTCTCCCGACCGATCGAACGTACTTTCCAATAAATAACTCGGCAGGTGTTTCTCGAAGACCGGTAAATATTTAAAGTCCGCGCGGTTCGGCGTTGTTACATTTTCGGCGGAACGTCGATCGTTTCGAGGCGCGTCTTCGCGAGCTCGCCGTCGTATTTTTCTTCTTTTCTAGTATACCGAGCGTCGATTCGCTCCCGCTTGCACGTAAACGCGTCTCTCGTTGTCGGTAACGCGGATTCCTCGATTTCCGTACTTCTCGAAACGCTCTAAAGCGAAACTCGCTTCCTCGAATAAGAGTGTAAACGCAAATGCGTAAAGGTAAGAACGTATCCCAGGATGTGTTCCGCGCGACAGTTTCAGAAGCGTCTCGAGGAAAACGGCAAACGGCAAATGGCAACCTGCGATCGAGAAGAAACAAGACCCGAGGAAGAACTTTGATTTCTCCGGATCGCGCGTCCAAGGATAAGAATTTCAATCGACCGTGATTCCACGATCGATCCAGGCTCGAGACCTTTCTATTTTCCTTTCGAGGAACCGTTTCCCCGAAGATCGACGTCCCGATCGATCGTATACGGCATACGGATCGAGCGAGAGCGAAACCGAGAGACGATCGAGAGTCGCGTGTCCCGCCGAATAAATTATCGATCGATCGAAGAACCGATCCGCTCTCGGTTCCGCCGTTCTCCACCGTCGAGTTAGGTCGAAGATCGACGAACGCAAGAAGCGTCGACGCGGCGATCCGTCGCGCGCCGCTCGGTTGCACGCGTACGCCCAGTTTTTCCACCTCCGCTTTCAATTTCACCGACTATTTTCACCGTTAATTGACCGCGCGCGAACTCCTGGCCAATTAAGTCGTTTAATCGCGAAACCAGAAGAAACGTCGTCCGGCGCGCGACGCCTTTCCTGTCGTTGGCTATTCGTTGATTTCGTCGATCGGCGCGTATCGAGGGGCGCGGATGGCGCGCGACCGTAAATCGTACGTATCCGTCTCGTTTCGTAATTGTTACGAACGCGTGTCGGTTAGTTTGGGTTAACGAGCAATTAAACCGGCCAAAGAAAATTGTGGAAAGCGATAAACGTTGGGTTCTGTTACCGTGCAGAAACGATGCGGTTCGCGGCTCGCGACTCGCGGCTCGCGGTTCCCACTGGAAATTACTTCGGGAAAATACCGTAGCAATTACCATGGAAGAAACCGAGTCGACGATCGGAGCCGCGGAAAATTTCGTTTTTCCAACGATTAAAGATGAAGATCGACGGGGCCTGTGTGCTCGTTGTTCGATCGCGCAAGCATAGGGGGCTAGGTTGTATGGAAACCACGGCGGAGCTGTCGACTCGCCGACGTTCGCGCGCGCTCGAGACGATTGGAAGACGAGTAAAAGGATTTCAGAATTTTCGAGGTCGAAACTTTGTCGAATTATCTTTAATCATTTTTCGTTGCCTCGCTCTTCCTTTCGATCCCCTCCGTCTACATTCTTCGGTATCTATGATCCGTCGTACGCGCGTCTCCCCGCGACGGTAGGTGCCGCGAATCGATCGAACGGATCCGCGGTACGGTGCATTCTAGCTGGGGGAACTGCGCGCGCGGAGTGCGGCGTGCAGCGTGCAGCGCGCAACGTTCCACGCGTGTCGCGTCGCTTCTACCGCTTTCGGTAATCGGTTCGCGATTCGTCTCGACGAGCGATCGTTTCGTCGGCCAACGATACCTCGACGATTCGCGCTTTCATCGAGGTTGGCTCGTTGGATCGATCCTGGAGCAAATCCGTCGGCGAGGCGTCTTCCATGAAACTCTTCGAATCGTTTCGCAACGAAATATTTCCAATGGTCGAACCGCGAAGGCGATTAACGGAAAGAAAGTCGGGGTTCGTAATGAGAAGAAATCGAAAAAGTTCACTGCCAAAGATCTCGTTTCAGGGCTACGCGACGAGGCCGAGCGATCGCCGCCGCGCCGCCCCGCGCGAATCGCGTCGAGCTCCGCGGAGTTTCGGTGAGACGGGTAAAAAGTGAAAAGTACGGTATATAGTCGAACGAACTCGGATGCAGCGTGTTCCGTTGCAAGGTGCCACGTTGCCACGGTACGGTGGCGGGAGTTTCTCGGTATTCTTTCAGAAACGATTCGCCTCGGTAATTTCAGCTGCATGTATATAAACGTAGGGTCCGTTCCAACGACCCGCAGAACGCGTTCGTTTCTCCGGTGTAATTTGCAGGAGCAGGCAACGTCGCGTACCCTCGCGAACCAGCAACCGGCAACCGGCAGCCGGCATCCAGCAACCAGCGACCAGCATAGAACCACCGGCATCGTACGCTGCGAGATGAGGGCCACGTTTCTGGTACGACATCTTGGCGACACCCTTGCGCTAAATATTATCCTTTATAAACTCCGGTCTGGAACGAGTTCGCGCGCGCGCGCGCGCGCGCGTCTACGAGGAAGAAAGAATTTCGGAAGAGATTCTTTTTCGTTGCTTTCGCGCCGTTCGCGTTCTCGTCGATTCGCGAATTCTCAGGATCGAACGCCCGTTTCGTCGCGTTCGATCGCGACTACGTCGAACGGGTATCCACGTTCCGAGCTCCAAATTCTAAAGCATCGCGCGCGGCCGCTGTTCCGGGACGTCGATTCTCCGGGAAAATTGTGCGTCACGCGTTTATTCTCTTTTCAGTTCGGCGTCGTCCTGGCGATGTTCCTCGTGCTGTCGCAACATCGTGTCGTGGAAACGTACGTACACCGCGCGCCGACGGTATTCGGACGGAATCGAAAGAACGAGAGGTACGATCGGATACGTATTATTTCTTGCAGGAAGAAGGTGATCATCCACGTGCCCTACAGAGTGAAGAAGGTGGAGCACACTCACACCATCTACAAGATCGTTCCTCGTTACACTAGCGAGCACCTCGAACGCCACGAGCATCACGATCGTCGCGAGAAAGAGGAGGAGCCGGAGGACGAGGACAAGTACGACGTCTAGAGCCGCGCGCCGACCGGATCGCGGATATACGATAGAATCGTGGGCGTAACGTTGCGCGCATTCGATAGGCGCGGGTGCGAGCGTCGAATCGTTCGGTCGAAGGGAACCATGTACAAATCCGCTCGAGCAGCATCGCGTTGCCGAATAAGTTGAGCGAATATAATTATGCCGTTCGCCGTTAAGGATAAGCTCGATAAATAACGTTTCGTAAATTTCGTTCGCTGCCATTGTTTAACCGCTCCCGCAAACGCCGCTCCCTTTTGCTCGAATTCGTTCGTTCCTCGGAGCGCGAGCGCGATCGATTCTTCGACGGGCGAGACAAAATGTGGACAACGACGAGTCGAACGATCGATTTTGCCCCTACGTACGCGTAGGTTGTTTTAGCCGAGGCGAACGCGTCGGATCGAATCGATCTCGTCGGACGCCGAACGAACCCCTGTCGAATACGAGCATGGTTCGTCGTTGGACCGGAATTTTCGAACGACCACGAACTTTGCTAACCGCGCGAACGCGCGTTTCCGGAGCATCGCCGATCGTCGAATCGAGCATCGAGCTCGTCGAAGAGGCGAAAGCGTTTCGCCAGCCGTAAAATACCGCGGGATTCGATGCAGTTCCGTGGTTTCTGCGGCGATCCGCCGCAGTTCCGAGTCGACGGAGACGCGATATAAAACTGGAGCATCGTCGACGATGTCGGACACTTTGTTCCCGTCGATCGGTTTGTCCGCGTCGCTGGTCGGTCGGCCCGGTCCTCTCGCGCGCGGAATATCTTCGTTCGATCGATCATGAACAAGGTAAGTGGACGATCGAAGATTCTATAGAGACGAGTTTTAAGAGCGGGGGCGATCGGTTTCGGTGGAATCGGTCGCTGGCAATCTTTCGACGATTCCCTTCGCCTTTCCACAGTTTTGCGCTTTCGCCTCTTTCGCCCGGCGATTCGCGACACGAGATTCCCATCGAATCGCACGCGGATGTACGATCGATGCGCGTCGGACGCGAATCGTCGCGCGACAGAAATTTTTTGCCGGCTTTAGCGATATCGATATACAACTCGACGTCGAATATACTTACATCGTTTCGCGCGTCGATTGTCCAGGAAACGTTCAGCTGCTTCTTCCTCGTTCTGCTCTTCCGAATCGCACACCACGGAATCACCGGCAAAAAGCAGTGAGTATTTCGAGCGATCGATTTCGATAACTTGCAACTCGATACTCGTCGATCGTTCGATAAGAAAAGAACGCGTCGACGATTCGCGCTTCCACCGCGACGCCGCGACAACGGTGGACGACCGACGAGCGCATCGACGAAGCGCTTCCGAAACCGAAACCGAAACCGAAACCGAAACCGAAACCGAAACCGAAACCGAGACGATCTCGTTTTCGCTTTCGAGAGCCGCGAATTTGGACGACAAAATCGGTTTCGAAATATCGTTCGAAGCGGCCGCGCGTCGAACGAAACGTCCCGTAGATCGAACGATCGTTCGAGGTCTTCCCGATAAAATTTCAAACGAGACGATTCAACGTACCGATCATCGTCGATTTCAGCGTCCACTTGAGGATCCACGTGCCGGACATGATCGAACACCGATTCCACACAAAAGTTGTGTTTATTCACGAACCACCGCCGAAGAAGCCCAAGACCGACCATAAGGAGTACCGTCGCGAAAACTGGAGTTCCTGGAGTTACGGTAACCATCGCGATTCGAAACATCGCGTCGACGAAGAAGATCGCGAAGATCGAAGCGAACGCGAAAGGCTGGCTACGTCGGAACCCCGGGATCCGAATGGCCGAAAGATCCATGGCCCTGGTTACGGTCGCCACGGAGATCCCTCGTTGCCGCAGTCTCACCTCGACGATAATCGGTTGGAAGAAAATCCGAAGATTCGCGAACACGGCGGATACGAGGTGCGCGAGGAAGCGGACGACGTTCCCCGAAACGGCGAGACGCTGGTCTACGATTTCGAGGAGGGACACAGGAAAGGTTCGCGATCGGAGACCGGGCATATTCGCGTCGGTCAGACGAGCGAGTTCCACGACGATCGGCACGAGGAGCAGGACGATCGAGAGAACGAGAACGAGAACGAGAGCGACGGCGATCGGTTCAAGGAGGACTTCGCGGGGATAACCGACGCCGGACGATACATCGTCGACGACGTCGAATACGAGAATACCAGAGACGAGCGGGACGGACGTCGCAGATATCGACGATTCGGACGATCCTGAGTCGTTTCGGCGACCGGTAGACGACTCGTGGACGACTCGCGGACGACTCGCGAACGTCGGTCTACAATTTTGTATATATGTACGATGTACGTAGAAGTTAATAAATAAGCGGTAGAATTCCAACCGATCTTCGATGCTCCGATCTAGGAGCCGTTTTTCGACGACGATATTATTCGTGCGTTAGGATCGGATATCTTTGCTACCCCGCGCACGTTATCGATCGTGTACCTCGCTCGCGCCACCGTCGACCAAGTTTCGTCAGCGTCGAGAACAGCTCCGTCTCGTAAGAGAGTCGTAAAAAATTATGCCGACGTTCGATCGACCGTTCGTGTCGAGGGTCGACAAAGTTCTTCCGAGCAACGATTTCGGAAAGCCTCGGTTCGCGTTGCGATTATCGAGGGACGATCGTCGCGCGATACGATTTTCTTGACCAAAATCGAAATTATACGGAGCACGGGTCGAACGTCTATCCGCGCGCGCGCGCGCGCCTGCGCGTACAGAACCGAAAAGCCAAAAGCCAAAAGATAAAAGCGACGAGCGACGCGCGAACGAACGCGCGCAGCTCGAACGAACGAAGAACATCGAATCTACGATGGTTTCGAATCGTTGGATTTTTCGACAAATTATGGATCGGTGGCGCATCGGATCGAATCGATTCGAAACGAGAAGACGATCGAACGATTCGATCGAGACGGATTCTAGCCGGCGAGAGCAAGGTGGATGGCCGGTTATCTGGGACATCGAAGGGGCGAGATTCAGGTACACACGCAATTTATTCAACTTTCTCGCGACACGCGAGGCGTACGGTTAAACGAGCCGAGTCGCGATACAGAAACAACAAAGGTAACAACGAGTACAGTGATTTATAACGAAACAACTGGCAAACAAAACAACGGAGTAACAATATTTACATGCGAGTGCGAGAGACGCGTCGACGGATCGACGAGAGAGACTAGGACGAGAGGTAAGAGAAAGAGAGAGTGAGTGAGAGAGAGAGAGAGAGAGAGAGAGAGAGAGAGAGAGAGAGAGAAAGGAGGGAGGTGTGGACGATTACGCGTTTTAAGTTCTAAATTCTAAGGCGTGGCTCGCGGCACTCTCCAGGAAACACCGGTCGTTGCGAGAAAGCGTCTATCCTTTCAACGGGTGGAATTTCTCTGAAACGAAGCAACGATTGTCGCGCTCGCGCGAGGGGGGAGGGGATCGTGCAGAGTCGGTTTCTCGAAACTCGATCGTTCCACGTTTTTGATTTCTCGAAAAACGAGCGTAAAACGCGACCCCGAATTATTCTCGTCCTCGCGCCAACTCGCCAATACGCTTTCATCGTTTATCCGCGAACAAGGTTTCTTCGTTGCTCGGTCCGAACCGTTTCCGACGAAACGAAGGCTACCCCACGGAGAAACCTGGCCCACGATTTCCAGCGACCGCGTCTTCCGCGATTCCTCGTCAGGTGCGCGCGATCGCAGAAACGTCGAAGCTACGAAGCTACGTTCGTCGCGCTTCGAGTCTCGAGATCGAGCAAGTTGCTCCACGCTAAAGCACGAACGATTCCTTCGAGACGCGAACAACGACGAACGATCGATTCGGCGATGTTCCGGACGAGAAAGGAAAGTCGCGTTCGACGTTGCCCGATGGAGAAGAGAACGCTGTCGTCGCTGGTGCACCTAACGGAACGAAGGACGATGCGAATTTTGCGACAACGGCTAAATGATATTCTAATTCGTGGATCGCGATTTTCGATCGTACCGACGAACCGAACCCTTTCGAGGATCTGCGTTGGACGAATTCTATTCTAATTGCGCGAAACGTCGGGCTAGAGTGGCTAGTGGCCTCCCCAGTCTTCGTGACCGCCTCCGAAACCGCCTCCGTAGCTGCCACCCCCGAATCCACCGCTCAGTTCGTGTCCTCCACCGATGTCGCCTCCTCCGCTGCTGTATTCGACGTGGCCGCCTCCGCCTCCGCCGCCGCCGCCGCCACCGCCGCCACCGCCGCTGTACTCGATGTGGCCCCCGCCGATGTCGCCGCCACCGCCTCCAAAGTCGTGACCGCCGCCTCCGAAGTCGTGACCACCGCCTCCCAAACCACCGTGACCGCCGATATCGATCGGATGACCGACGGTGTATCCGAGGACCTCGTATTTGTCACCGCCGCCGCCGCCGTGGTGAATGTGCTTGGTGATCGTGTGCGTATGGTGGACCGTCTTGATCTTGTATGGCACGTGGATCACCACGTGGTCGCTGGAGAACACAATCGACGAATTAGTTTGGCCGTGCTCGGAACGAAACGGTCCATTCGCTCCCGACGGTTGGTCGCGGTAGCCGTCGAGCAGCGTGGAAACGTTCGGAAACGGTCGGAAAGGCGGCGCGCGCGAGGTCGTCGAACGAGGAAAAATCGACGAGCGGCTAAGTACGGGCGATCGACGGTCTCGTTCGTCGTTGCTTTCGACAAAAAATGATAGAGCACCGGTGGCCGACGAGTTGCTGCGGAGAAAGTAAACGTTCGAACGGCACCGATCGCGCGCGCGCGCGGCTCGTTGCCTTCTATTTTATATCATTCCATTCTATTCTATTCCGTCCGTTGGACGAGCTATCGCGAACATCGTGCCGCGTGGTAGCAACCGATTCGTCGCGCCGGGCCGCGTCTCCGGCATCTTTCTTCCAGGTTGCAAAAGAAACAACGAAAGGATCACTTACTGTCCACCGTGTCCCCCGCCGGCACTGGCCACTGCGAGCAGCGAGGCTGCCGCGAGAACGGTCTGCGAACGGAAAGAATCGATTAGTCGATCGGGACGGAATTTTCGTTCGTTTCGGAGACGGTCGAAATTGTACGCAACGAGTTTCGGCTCGCGCGAGCTCGAACGATCGCGAAAACGGCCGTCGAGCTCGATGCGACGTTTCCTCGAAATTTTCATCGTTCGCTAACGAAACTGCTCGTTCCCTTTGTTTCGAAGATTTGCAAGGAACTTGCTATTTCGAATAGTCGTGATATACGAAAGTTGTTCTCGCACCGATTCGTCAACAGAGGGAAGCGGACAAAAATGTGCGAACGCGCGCGTCCGCAAATTTTATCTCGGAGAGGCATCGGCCAGGGTTGCTCTCTCCCCCTCCCCCCCTCCTCTCTCTCTCTCTCTCTCTCTCTCCGTCTCTCGAGAACGCAAGAGCAGAAAATACGATTCCGTGGGCGATTAAAAGTTTCGTCCGCTGGCTGTCCCAGAGCTCGGAGAGGCTGCTTCCAAGAAAATCGCGATGCGTATAAATATCGACGGACCGAGGAATTAGCCGGGGTCGACTTACCGCGAGATTGGTCATGTTGCTGAATCGATGCGAATCCGACGCGAACGAACGGCTGAACGAATGCACCCGCGTCGAGAGGAGGCGGCTACCGGTTCCTCCTCGCGATACAGTTGGCGGTTTAAGCCGCGGTTTTGATCTGCTGGCCGGTGTGCACGCGCTCGCCGCTTTTATACATGTACGCGATTCGAGTCGGATAAGAATGAAAGGGAATCTCTTTCGCACCCATCGGCCGCGGTGCCACGTGAAAGGATCCGGCTAATGGGGAAGACGTGGCAAAAACCGCGGAGGACCGACGCGGCCGCGCCCCTCCACGATCGAAGCGGAAGGGGCCGGGGCTACCCTTCACCTCGATCGACGCGCGTCGTTCGTTTCTTCGTCTCCACGTTTTACTCCGACTCTCGCTCTTGCTCCTTGGCTAATTCCGGCGAGCCGCGGTAGTCTTTTTAACGAAAGCTGATTTGGCCGGGTGAACGGCCAAGATCAAGATCAGTCTCGTAACACGAGGTGGGTGCTCCGCGATCTCTCGTTTCATTCGCGTCTCGCGTCTCGCGTCGCGCGACTCGCGTTGTCCCGCGTGCTCCGGGAACCGAGTCTCGCAGGGATCGATGTCGACCCGACTGCGACGCGTCCGAGCTTTTTCCCGTCGCGTCGCGTCGCGTCGCGCGAACAACTATTTGCTACTTGGTTGCGGAGGAGCACGCGATTCCTTGTCGCGACTCGCGACAACGGCAACGGCAACGGCAACGGTTACGCCGGCAGCTTTTCCGCGTTCTTCCGGCATTCCGACAGCCCTCCTTCTTGATCCTCGAGCGATCGAGGTTTTCGCAGACGCGCGACCGACGTTTCTTGGCCCATCGTTCGTTCCCTCGAACGCGTAGATTTCCGCGTAGAACTTGTAACAGAGAACAACCGGGGAAGATCGGGTTTCGTCTCTCGACCGGTAGTTCGAGAAGCGAGACGCGGACAGCGATCGTCCAGGGATTCGGTCCGTTCGAGACGGTTCGTTCGGTTTTCTACGCGCGAGGCGCACCGCGCGATTTCTGTCTCCAGGATCGATCCTGATTCGGACCGTGATCGATCTCCGATATCCGAGAACGCTTCGCTTCTCGATCGAAACGCGATTCGAAGCCGATAACGACCCGCGCTCCACCATGGAGAACGATTCCATCGTGGGATCGAGTCGGTAGAAATTGATTTCGTTCGATGTTTAACGAGCGCGATCGGAAATTCGAACGCGCGTCCTTTCTTCCACAAATATTTGCATAATTTGTAGCTTTCGAGAGTATCCGGGCGATAGTCTGGCTCTTGACTTTGTTCCGGATCGATCTCCTCGATTCGACCGGTCGCGAAGAGAGTTTTGGTTTGGCGCAGCCGCGAACGTAGGTTCTTGAAACGAAACCGTCCTAGACGATTTCGATCGAACGATCCGGTGTTCGACCGTTGCGACGGACGCGTCGTCCTTCGCGGTTTCGATCGCTTTCGAACAACGGTTCGTTATCGTTCGCAACCGTCGGATAGGTATCGGTCGACGCGATCCGCGCGATCGCGACGTTCGTCGTGTTCCCGTTCGTCGTTTCGCACCTCCGGTTGCTCGGCGGTGTTCGAAGCAGCTCGGCGGACGCCCGCCAGACGTCCGCCAGACGGTTCGAGTTCGATGAGACGGAAAACGCGTTGGCCAGCGAGCGGAACAGGATCGTCGACCAAGAGCGACGCGACGGGTCGTCGACCCGCTTCCTGTAATATTATAATTGCTGTTTCGAGTAATTCCCACTCGTTACAGGCGCGCGCGTTTTCACTCGTCGATGCGCGAGAGATAGCCGTGTCGCGGGATCGAAGCCGAGACCGAGACCGAGACCGAGACCGGCACCGATACCGACGCCGAAACGAGTCGGGATCGGAGAGGAACGTTCTTATCGCGTTCCAAGCATATCCGAACGAAGAATCTCCGATTAAGTTGATCGCGATTCTTTTCGCGACGATTTCCATAACGAAAGGAATCGTAGCGCCGCGTTCCGTGCCCGGTCGAATAAGACGAACGCGCTCGGTTTATGAAAGTTTCGATCGCCGAGGAAAGTTCGCTGAATATTTTTCGACCGTCTCCCTTCCCGCACCAACGATTCGGTCTCGTATAAGTTGCAACGCGCGCGTGGGCACCGCGCCGATTCGCGTCCAACCACCGGCACCCGATGCTCGCCGTTCGACCGGACGTCGATTTCTCGTCGACTCTCGATCGCCGCCGCAAAATTTGTATTTTCGGGTCGGTTCCATCCTCGTTTTCTTCCCAAGGAGATTCGAACTCGAAAGTATCCGGACGAGATATCGGCCTCGAAACTCGTAGCATCGTTATCGACGACGAACGATCGTTGCCCGGTTCGAACGAAACGGTGTCTCGAACGAATTTGTCGCATCGTTTCGCACAGTTTGCGTTTTACGCGAGTAGAAAATTGTATTCTTTTCGTAGAAAATAGCAGGATATCCGACTACCGAGCGGACGACCGTTTCGCGACGGAGTCGAGTGGGGAGCGCGACCAACGCCGATTTCGACGCGTGCCGAGAGGCGAGTGGCAATTTACGAGCGACGAGTGGCAAGCGGTAAGCGCGTTCGTCGCGTTCGAGGCGTTCGATGTCGAATCTGCGACGGTTACTTTCATTCGTTTCATTCGTTTCTCGTCGCAATTTCTAACATCGATTCTATTTCCATTGTTCTAGATTTCACGAAATCGTCTATACAAAATTGGAATCATCGACGAAAGCGTCGGTAGCTCGATCGTCGAAATTATTTTTATTTCGCGTTCGATCCAGCCGCGCGTTTGGACGCGCCGCGCGGCTCCGACGACACCCGTGTCGGAGAGGCGATGGAAAGGAGGACCGGTAGCCGCTGGCGACGATGGAAGAAGAACCGCGAGACCTGGAAAAAATGGGCGCCATCCGGGAACCGTAGTTTCATCTAGACGGTTCCGCGTAATCGATCCCGATTCCGATTCCGATCGCGAGCGCGAGCGCGAGCGCGAGAGGGACGACGCCCCGCGCGGAGAACGTAGAAATCGGTGCGGCGGTCGGGTAAACCGATCCCCGTCCACGGTCTTCCCTCCTGTTACTCTCGCCTTTACCTTCGCCTTTTCCAGACGATGGCAAAACGATAGGAGAAAGGGAGAACCGGCCGCGCTCGCCTCGCGAAGCGCGTCGACCGAGACCGAATTCTCGGCGCGTTCCAACGGGAGGCCGAGCGAAAACAAAAACGAGCAGCGCGCGATCCTTTTCCTCGGCGATCGTGAATCGCGGGACCGTGACAGTGAACTCTCTACCGAAGGAATTCCGTTCGAGGCTTTCGACCGGCCGGTTCGATTCCGCGTTCGACGAGGTACATCGTCCCGGTCACCCCGGGAAAAATCGTTTCCGAAGCGCGAAGCTCCGCCCGAAGCTACCTGCGCGGTCCATCTCCGCGTTCGCGTCGCGTGGAACATTTCGAAGACGGAAGGAAACGTTCGAACGGAGACGAAATTAGACCCGACCCTGGCAACGACGAACAACTCGATATTTACAAAATATAATCGATGGACGTACATTTTGTTTTACTCGCGCGGCCGTCTACGCGGCCGGGCAGAGAGGAGAACGGCTGGACAACGTTTTCCGAAGAGAAGAAAGCAGGGAACCGTCGTAGGTACACGCGCGATGCTTGCTTCGAGTTGTAAAAGCGTTTTTCAGTCTTATCGGACGTCCATGCTGCATACGATACCTATCGTCTTGGCGCGACAGCGTCGACGCGTTCTTTCGTCGTCGCGTTCGAACTTTTGAAAGCGAAAAGCTCGTTGGCGAAGCGGACCACGCGGGAAAGTCGATTCCGACGGTCTACACGCGACGTTCGGTTTCGACCGGAGCGGGATATCCGGCGACCTTGAAACCCCTTCGAAATACGCGCTCCCCGATTCTCTCGCCGATCGCTGAATCGTTTGGATCGACGATAATCGATCCGCGTTGCGCCGCGTCGCGCCGCGTCGCGCCGTGTCGCGCCGAGCCCCGCCCGGAGAAAACTGCCGGCTGGAACAAAAAGCGCAATACGGGCGAGGCTGTAACGAGTAGAAAATTATATACCGTAGGTACCGTTTCGATCCCCGGAAGTCCGTCGTGAAACTTCCGAGGGCACCACCTCGGGGTTCGACGCCCAGTCTCCGCTACTTTTTCGCTCGTATCGCGATTTCTAAGGCTTCGAGCGCCACCGATGCAGCCGTAGAAAGTAGAAAGGATTTATTTTATACGTTATCGTCGTTATCGCTGTCGAACGGTGAGTTTTTCGTCCGCCGCGCGGCGATCGTTGGACGACGCAACGGCGCGACGAGTTTTCGCTTGGAAAACAGCGCGAAAAATATAACCCGGGTCTTCCAAACTTCGGTCTCCTAAAATTCAGACCGTTTTACGGATTACAGAAGTCTGCCGGAATTATCGCGTTCGAGATCGCCGTTCAACGACGCTCCGTCGCGTCGGTCCGATTTCACCGCGAAACGTTCGAAATCGCGCGCGGCTCTCTCTCTCTCTCCCTCTCTCTCTCTCTCTCTCTCTTTCCCTCTTCTCGAATCAAACTTTGCATCCGAAAATGAGAAGTTGTCGGGTGCGCGCACGTATCCCGCGGGATCTTGGAAGTTTCGCGCGCGATAGATCGCCAGAGATCGCGAACACGAACGGAAACGATACCGCGAAATATATTTCGATATCTTCGAGACTGTTCGAGTACCGTCTCGTGTCCCTAACTACAATTTTGCAATTTCACAATTTCACAATTTTACAATTTTACGAAATTCGCAAATTTTTTATTTCTTTTCTTTACGGTTACATTCCTACGTTCACCGACGCGTTTCCATCGATTCGCGCGTTCCATTCGTACGTATCGTAGAAATTTGAGCGGAAAGCGACGACCGCTCGCGACGTTCGACGCTTACGCGTGGAACGCGAAACACGAGTGCTCGTACGTTACGCTCGGTAACCGCGCGCGAATACTTTTCTCGGAGACCCGAGCGATATTTTAGATTTCGGATTTGAGATCGACGATGCGACGTGGAATTCGAATCGTCGATCGATGGCATCCGTCCGCCGCACCGTGAAACGGGCGACGAGAAACGGTTCGGGAGGAGCCGTTCGCGTCGCGGTTCGATGTTCGAGGTTCGAGAAACGAGTTACCCGCGGAGCTCGGCGCTCGGCGGTTGGCGCGTCGATCGGTAACGGTACAGAGGACGCTGTCGCGGACAGTTGCCGTTCTCGACGAACTTCTTTCGAATTCGAACATTTTCTCAGCAGCGGTTCGATTCGTACGCTTTATCTTCGAATCGATGTTGAAACGCGAACGAGAACCCTCCACTGAAAATTCTGAAAAAGGAACGGCCCGACGAAGAGCGTCGTTCTCAAAAACGACGTCCGGTCGAAGACGTTTTCCCAATTTAAAAGGTATTCGACGACGCGTTCGCGTTTCCATCGAATTCGATGTTCGGTCGGTATCGAACGCCGCGTCGCGCGAAACGGCTCCATCGATCGCCGCGGGAAAGAGGAAAGCCCCGACGAAGCGTCCAACGTTTACGCGCGCGCGTTCGATCGCTCGTTCGATCGGTCGTCTGGAACGTTTTAGAAAACGGATCGCCTCTTCGCCGAACTTCGATTCGAGAAACCGCAGCATCGAAAACGGAATATCGGCCGTGCTTCGAATTGTTCGAGAAAATAGATCGTTCCAAAAACGCGCGCGGCTCTCCGAAATGGCGGCCAGCCAAAGTCGCGTTACCGTCGAATTTCGTGGAACGTCCTTCGAAACGGTCCGTTTGGAGACGCGTTTCGAAATCGACCGAAGCGGCAGCCGAGTACCGCGATCGCGAATTCGATTCGATTCGATGTTCGGGACTCCGAGGACGAATTCGCTCGATCGCTCCACGCTTTCGTCGTTCTTCGTCGAGAAGGAATTCGTCGCTCGTCCATCGATCGAGCCGCGCCGCGTCGTTTCCCGACCTTGCGCGGATCGGCGCGGGTCCGGACAAAAATAAGGGCGCGTCGATGCTTTCGCAGCGATCGCTTTCACCGTCGCCTCCGGTCGGTTCTCGTCGCGACGATAGCACGGCCTTGGACTCGGTCGAAGCGCGGGCGGTTGGCGGCTGGCGGCTGGCGGCTGGCGGCGAAGTTCGCGTATTTAAGGAGAGATCGCGCGAGAGAACGCGAGAGCATCGGCGCGGCGTTGCTGGCGCGAAATCGAAAACGATCGAGAATTTCGCGGACCGGACCGCGAACGACGGGATCGCGAAGCGGGATCGTCGAGAGATGGAATATATGCAGATGGAATATGCGTTCGCTGAAACGATCTTCTCTTCCCGCGACTAGCCCGGACGATGATATTTCATCCGCGGCGCGCTACCGGATCGAATTTCGGTGCCGATACCTCGGGACGGTCGGGATGGTCGGGACACGGGACTTTCTTTTCTTAGGTTTCGATCCTCGCGCCTCGGATGCGATCTCTTTTACAATATATTTAGAACAAGCCCCGTTCCCTATTCCGTTACGACGCGCGCGCGTCCGACGAGCATCTCGATATCGGTGAGAACAGCTGGAACACCGTCGCGAGCGATCCGCGTCGCTCTCGACCGTTTTCGTTCGACGCCTCGCGAAGCTCGTTAACGAGTTTCTCGACGGCCGTTTCTTTTACGCTGTTTCCAGATCGAACGCGTTGAACGCGTAAACGCTCCGCGATCCGATAGATCGTCGCGATAAAATGCTAATCGGTCGATTTCTCTCGATTCGAAGATAAAACGGCGAAGCGCGAGATGGCCAACGATGGGACGTCGCACCGATTATCGGTTCGTTCGCGATCGAAATTTAATCGCCGCGTACGATAGCGTGCAACAGCGTGGAATAGTTTCGGAGAATTACGGAACGGGCGTAGGCGATTTACGGCGAAAGTAAACGCAATTAGTCGAGGCAAATTCAAACGGCGAGGCGAGCAAAAAGAAAAACGAAATCCGCCGGACAGACAATTAAACGCCAACGAAAGTTGCAGGCATCGTGGAGAATCGCTCGGGAGAACGAACGATGCAATCGCGAGCAGCCGCGCCGCGCCGTCCCAACGCGTTCGTCGTCGCGGATAAGTAGCGCGCGCGCGAATCTTCGATCGGCGATCGCCCGGTCGCGGGACTCTCGTCGCCCCGACGGCGCTATTCTCCGTTGTTTCCCTGGCGGATCGCGATTTTTCGCGCGACGAGAAAGTCCGATGCGATACGAGCGATACACCGTGCACCGTTTGTCCGGGAATCGGCCAACGGTCGCGCCCCGATCGCGCCCCGATCGCGGGATCGTCTTCGAATCGGCGTCTTCGTTGACGCGAATAGGACGAACCGCCGCCGCCGCCGCCGCCGCCGCCGACATTTTATTTTCTACCACTTGTTTGGAACGCGACGGTCGCACCACCGTCCGCTTACCTCGACGCGATACCGCTTCGATGCGATATCTCGATACGTTATTCGCAGAGACGACGATGGCGCAATTTCTCCGATGAAATTTCTCCACCGTTGAAAAACGACGAATCGCAGGATCCCCTTGCTCCGACGACGCGACTCGTCTCGCGACGGTCCGAATCCCTGCAAATGGAATAATTCGCAGCGCGTAAACGCGGCACGCTTCGTCGACCGGCCACGCCGTGTCGAATTCGCGCTTCTTAGTTTCAAAATGGAAAATCGCGCGAAGAAAAATGCCCCCTTCGGAGTAGGAACGATTTCGAGATCGCGGTTTCTCGCGAGGCTCGGGGTTCGAATCGAACGCGGATCCGCTTTTACGCCAAGGTATCCGGGCGAACGGTCTCTCGACGAAATGTGGAACGTCGGTCCCGTTCTTGTTGGTCGCGTTTTGGAAAGCACGGGCGCGAGGAGTCGCTGGTCGCGGTCGAGGAAGGATCAAAACGAGGTCCTGGCGCTGGCGGCCGCAGCCTCGGCGAACGCCGCGCGTCGCGTGCCGCGTGCCGCGTGCCGCCGCGCCGTTGCGACCGTACGTACACGTGGTAGCGCCCGAAGAAAGCGTCGATTTCCCCCGAAACAAAAATCGTGCCTCGGCGAGACGAGACGAGGCGGCGCGCTCGGTCGTCCGATTCGTTTCGTTTCGTTTCGTTCGGTTTGGTTTCGTATCGCGTTCGCACGCCACCGGTCTCGCGGCGCGATAAACGGTGTACCCACACCCGTCGTCGGTTTCCATCGGGACCGGAGGTTCCAGGGGAACGCGATCTCTTTCCAGGCCAGCCACCCCCCCCCCCCCTTCGGGACGAGTGGGAGGCGGTCGTTCGTCCGTCCGTCCGTCGGAACCTCGATTATGTTCTTTTTATCTTGTATAAAAGCGAAGCGACCCGCGCCGGACGCTCGCAATCTATCCGCGCCGGTTCGAGTACGCGGAGCCCGCTGCAACGGCGAACCCGCTGCAACCCCGGTCCCGACAAGGATTTATCGCCTCGTCGCGTCGGATCCTCGAATTCGTCGATCGCTGCCTGGACCAGCCGTCATGTGGTCGCCCGTAAGTTGGATCTTTCGCCAAGATTTTTAGTCGGCCAGCTTTCTTTCCGGGTAGTTTTCCAGTTGGTCGATAGCTTTTCCGGATAGAGGACGTTTACGGAGTATTTTTATCGATGGCTTTTTACGGCTTTTGACTACGGTACGTACGCGCCGCCGACCTAGCCATTTTCGCTCGACATCCGCGACTCTCCGAATACGGCGGAGGTAGAAACAATGGCAATAATAATAATAATAATAATAATAATAATAATAA